CGAATGCTAAGTACAGCGGAAGGTTGTATTCATTGGTTTTCTCAATTAAGATTTTAAGCGCATGTAGATGGTCGATTGTGCTGTATCCTTTCCTGAATCCGGCCTGTTCCACTGGTTGGTAGTTATCAAGTTTATAGGTTAGTCGGTTGTTTATTATTCTTGTGAAGGTTTTATATAGTTGTGACAAAAGGGAAATAGGACGGTAGTTGTTTAGGTCTGTTCGGTCTCCTTTCTTATGTATTAATTTTTTTTTGTATTAAGATTATGTTGGCACTTCATATTTTTTTAGGATTATTCGGTAGTTATCAATCCATAAATAAACAACTATCATGATTGTCACAGCTGTATATACTTCTTATTTCCTATTTTACAAATAAATGTGGACGATTGTGCATGGTGGTAATACCCTCCTCCCCAAGGGGTACGCTCTAGAATTCCGAGGCGTAAAAGTGAGCAAGCAAAAGTCATAGACCAGACGGTGGGTGACATTGGCAACTCTGACAGTTAAAGGCGATACTCTCAAAGCTTCAAAGAGAACTTTTACTTTGGAGCGAGAGAGAGAGGCCGAAACTTCGCGGAGAATTTTTAATTATGTCATGAGACACTTCCACTATTTCGACCCATATTTGAAGACTATCGCAGTTTGTTATTTTTTTATAGAGAGACAATTAAGTTGAAATAATATATAGGTTGAAGGTGTTTTTGATACTGTAAGAATAGTACGGGGTGTAGATAGATAAATAATATTGAGAACTGTTTTGATTTGCAAGATATACCACGACAGATTCATCTGTCGGGGTAGGATTTTAAAATCTAGTAACATATGAAGAAAAATAAAAATGTCCCTAACTATCTCCTGCATTGACTTTGGTTCAGGCGGGAAATCGTTATTGAATTGAAAATTGTTATGTTTTATATGTATGTTATGTCACAAACTTAGATTGGGAAGAACTTAAATAGATAACTTCTGAATGAACGATTGGGGGTGGGTTTGAAACCCTGCTGAAAACATTATCTTCTTCCTTCTTGTATAAAGTTAAAGCCTTCTTGTTAAAGCCTGTTTGTTCTTCAATATTAGCCTCCTAAACTGTTTCAATTATCGCACCATCTTTTTCTTGGTCTGCCAATACTTCTTCTTTCATTTGGTGACTTATCTCATGCAATTCGTACTAGCTTATCCTCTGCCATTCTACTAATGTGTTCGTTCCAGTTCTGGTTCCGTTTTGTCACTCATTTATTTATGTCTTCTGTATTGCATGCTCTTCTTATGTTTTCGCTTCTCTCCCTATCCAACAGACTTTTCCCTGATATTCTTCGAAGTATTTTCATCTCTGTTGTTTCTTGTAGTTGTCTCGTTTTAGATGTGTCAGGTCTTGTCTCCGCCGTGTACGTTATATACATCTAATTGCTGCTTTATAGATTCTTGTGTTTGTGTCTGCCTTAGGTATTTGTTCTTCCAGATTGTGTCATTAAGAGATCCCGCCGATTTACTTGCTTTTAGCTTTGTTTTCGTACTTCTTCTTCAACATCTCCGTAACTAGCTATATCCATTCCCAGATATCTAAACCTGGTTCCTGCTTATTATTTTCCCATCAATTTCGATTTTACATCTTAGTGGATATTTAGTTGTATTAAAGATGTGTGTTACTCTTTGGAGCTCGTCTTCTGTCTCGGCGATTAATGCGGCGTCGTCTGCATAACAATATTTGGATTTCTTTGTTCCTCATTCTGTAACCATGACCTTTATGTACTGCTTGTGTTATTTCGCTGCGAAAGAAAAACCCTTCGCTGGTGCAAAAAATTGCGTATACATGTACTACAAGTGATTTTAATAAACTCTTATTTTTTATTTAACAAATATTCTGGATTAAAACTGTCTCCTTATGACTTTCGACTAGAAATTATAAGAAATTTACTACGCTCTCCTCAGAAAAATGTTCCTAAAACATTGAATAACTTGTCTGAATGGCATATTTTGAACAGAATAGCTGAGAAAAATACAAAAGGAGAAACGAAACTTAAAAAGTGCAGGGTGTACAGTGAATAAAAAAAGATAATATACGATTTATGAATGTCTTATGTGTACTGACAAACCTGGTCTTTGCCTAGGCGCATGCTTCGTAACATACCATGAAGACCGAAAATTACTCTAGTTGGTGTATTTTTTGTACTATTTGTTACCTATAACGTTCAAGTTGCTCTTATATAATGTCAATCTATCAATAGTGACATTGATTTTGTTAATCATAGCTTCCTTTGTTAGTCATAGTAAGGTGCCATTTATTGGTTATATTGCGATTTAAAATGGCAGAAAAACTGTTGTCTACGTCTTTCCGTACAATTTTTTGAAAATTGTCTTGTATAAAAACCTTCTCCTGATAATAACCCATCAAAAAAATAATTAGGTATCTAATTGGGTGCACTCATTCTGAAGTTATGCGCTTGCAAACATTTCGGAGATCCTTTATTATTTATATTGTTGTGATCTGCTTTATAATTTATAATCTGCTAAATACTTATATTACAATCAAGTAGCCTCTATCCAAATTGGAGACAGTCCCACTGAAAAAATACCCATCAAACGTGGAGTACGGCAGGGTTGTGTTTTGTCACCCACTCTTTTTAATCTGTACTCTGAAGAAATCTTTAGAGAGGCTTTGGATGACAGACAAGAGGGAGTAAGACTAGGTGGAGAAGTAATCAACAATATTAGATACGCTGACGATACAGCCATTCTTGCAGAAAGTTTACAAGATCTCCAAACATTACTAAATCTAGTCAGTGAAGCAAGTTATCGGAGAGGCCTAAAAATCAACATTTCAAAGACAAAGTGGATGGCAGTTGGAAAGATCCATATAGATCAAGGTCTGCTTTCTCTTAATGGAGAAGAGATAGAAAGGGTAAATCATTTCAAATACCTTGGCAGCTGGTTAAATGTAAATTGTGACTCTGATGAAGAGATAATATCCAGGATCGAAATATCACGTAAGGCTTTTATGACCTGGAAACCAGTTTTATGCAACGGAAACCTGTCAATGAACATTCGTAAGAAGGTCCTGAAATGTTATGTGTGGTCGATCCTATTGTATGGTTGTGAGACATGGACGTTAAAAACCACAATGCTAAACAAGTTAGAAGCATTCGAAATGTGGTGCTATAGACGAATCCTAAAGATATCGTGGGTCTCGCACACTTCCAATGAAGATGTTCTTCAAATGATCAACTCAGAACGTCTGCTCATAAACATCATAAAGAGGAGAAAAAACAGAATACTTCGGCCATATAATTAGAGGACCCAAATACCATTTACTTCGCCTTATAATACAAGGAAAAGTGGAAGGAAAGAGATGGATTGGTCGAAAGAAACTTTCATGGCTGCGTAATATTAGACAATGGTGTGGTTTCACAGTAGAAGAATTATTTCGCGCAGCAGCCGACAGAGAAAGGTTTCAGGAAATTGTAAGCATGCTGACGGCCAACGTCTGAATACGGACACGGCACCCAAAGAAGAAGAAGATCTGCTGTATGATGTTTTATTATTAATTAACACTAATTTAATTAATTAAATTATTTAATTAATTAATTCACTAATTTATGAGTCATACAATTCAATTACTATTAAAAATTCTCAGGGTGCCTTTTTTTTTGTTAATTATTACTTTAATCAGTTTACTTTATATATCTCTTCTAGTGGGTTCAGTATCTCCTAATTGCTCATAATCGGGATAGAACAGGAAACGGAACTAACATTAAAACAACATAAATATGCACACAAATTATTATTTATTTTCAATAAGCAATAAGATGAATATTAATAAATAACTTTTGTGGGCAATTATCTTTCCCAAAAAACTCATATACTCCTAAATTTAATTTTAATTTCAAACTATCTATTGATCTGTTTTATAGTAATATCTACTAAAAAAAATGACCATATAAAAATATAATTTATTCACAAAAAAAAAATAACTCTTTGAAACTTGGAATCTTAGTTCGTATGCTTATATTTGATTTTATCTTTAGAATATCTTAAAATTTCTTTCATTCAATTATTTGACTGACCTTTATTTTTACACCAATGATGTCTCCTCTCGATCAAACCACAGTTCCTTCCTTGATTGATTATGTCCGGCTACCATCAAATCTTTCCCGTTCTCAGCATCGATCCAAACCGCATACCAGCAAACTACTCCTCCGAAAACACAAGCCCAAGCCTCTTTTGACCGGTACTCTTTATTCACAAATTCTCCTTTCTTTCTCAATTATATCCCGTGGACTATGCAGACTCAAAAGAGGTATTAATCTTCTCGATTTTGATCTGCTCTCAGCTTCCACCTTTTTCACTAACAAACGAAAACACTGGTACTCAGATTGACTACACGAAAACACGTCTTCTCTTCTGGTCTGCCGGTAACATAATAATTCTTTCAATCTCTCCCAGACAACCTTCTCAACTCTCTCATTCCCACCATTCTTTTTTAACCAATCATAGCATTCATTTTTCCCACTTATTTTCGATTTAGAAAATTTCCAACATGATATTTAAAACAAATAAACTACTTTCACTCAAATTACTTTTCAGAAACCATTAACAATTTTGCCTTTTTCAACAGAAATAAGTTTCCAAATTCTTGTTATCTCTTATCTAAATCTAATTCTTATTTACTTTCGAAAAATGCCCACCGCAAAATACAATTACAAGTTTATTCCTAAATCTATAATTATACGGGTTCCATTGTCCTTTCACTATTCACTCAGTCTTTCACGGAAAAACTCGTTAGGGTCCCGTCACGGAACAATGTTTTCTCTTATTCTAACTATTACAAATAAGTACAGGGTTGTATTTTAACTTATATGCCCGCGGTATATTAAAATAATAAATAACTCTTTATTCTATTTCTGATCGATAAACTGATCCATAACAATATATACATAGAAAACTATTTTTATTTTTTTTGAGCACTTAATTGATTATTTTTGTTTTGTTTCAGGCCGGAAAGATGGGACTCGGTCCAACAGGTCACATGCCTTTCTTCTGCCACAACGGAGATCCGTTATCGCAACCGCCACCAGCCCACATGGGAATCCCACCGTACCAGTTGGATAGCAAGGGGGCGGCATCCATGGGTGAGTACGGGGGCTCACCTCAGCCGCAGCCGCTTAGCCCAGCCGAATGGAGACGACTCGGGCCGCTGCTCGCCGCCACAGGTATCCTTGAGATCTGCCGCTCCCCGGCCATCTCGACAGAGATGGCCGGAGGCGGTTGTACATTATAGTGGTGGAGGGCAGTAGCCTGTAGAATTTATTTTAGGGTTTATTTTTCAAGATTATTATTACAGATTCAATTCAAGAAACATAATGAAATTATCAATTACCAAATCATCACGATATTATGATGTTATGATGAGTCCTTCATGAATCTATAACAATATATTCATAATAGTTTTTTAATAGATATATAGATATAAATTTGCGTCATTTTTTACATTAATATTTGTATTATTGATATACTCGATACTTGTGAAACCAAAGTTTCTTCATTAATTACAATACGGTCAAAAAATTGGTCACCATCACATTTGTATTATGGGCCACCCACCAAACGCACATTGTTTATAGCCAAGATGCTCAATACGGTACTGAAACGTACTAAGATCTTAGGTAGGAAAGCAATATCAATAATAAATGGGGTTCTCTGGGATTAGACGATATCGAAATCCAATAAACAAAAAATATACAATAAAAACATAATCCGAAGCAATATAACTTCTGACTGTGACACCAACTTTAACTTATTTACAGTATTGTACGAATTAATGGAATCATAGGCTGTTTTAATGAAAAAACAGTTTATTTAGTAAAAAATTATATTTTGACAAAACTATAAAGGTAAACTTACATCATTCAGTAGGAAATATTTCCCCTTTGGCAGCAATTACTGCTTTTACCCGTTTTGGCATAGATTCTATGAGTTTCTGGCAGTTGTCAGATATCCTTTCATCTCGATACCAAACCTGAATGGCCGCTTCTATCATTTTTGTTTTAGTGGTACAGTCGATTTTTCGCAGTCTAGCTTTGCAAATGGCCCATAAATTTTCAATGGGGTTGAGGTCGGGCGAATTACCGGGCCAATCTAAAACATTAATCTTCTTATTTTTGAAAAATGCCATCATTTCCTTTGATTTGTGACAGGGAGCAGAGTCCTGTTGAAGAATCGCTCCTCCTTGGGGTTGACATTTTTGGAGTTGTTTGTCCAAATACTTTTCCAACATGGATTTGTATTTTTGGCTGTTCATCATGCCTTCAATAGGCACCAAAGATCCAACCCCCATGTACGAAAAACATCCCCAAAACATTTTCTTGACTGTATGTTTTACGGTTTGATCAATATGAGATGGTGTAAGCTTTTCATTGTCAGACTTCCTGACGAATTTCGACCGCTGTCCCTGAACTATAAAGTGGGTTTCATCTGTAAATAGGACTTTTTTCCAGTCGCCTACAGTCCAATTAGAGTATTTTTTGGCCCACAGTAGCCTTTGTTTCTTCATTCGTTCAGTTAGAAGCTGTTTTTTCTGTGGACGAATTGCCCTTCTACCATTCTCCAAAAGTCTTCTACGAACAGTTGAGTCATGAATCACTATAGCTGATGCTGCTAGATCTTGTTGTAGGTCTTGGCTTGATTTTCTTGGGTCCAATTTGCTCTTTCGAAGTAAAAATCTATCATCTGCTGGTGTTGTTTTTCTCTTTCTTCCACATTTTCCTAACCTTTTCACATCCACTGATCCCGTTTCTCGTTTACGCTTCAAAATTTTGCTTACTACCCCCTGACTCACTCCACACGTTCTAGCAATCTCTCTTTGTGACATACTAGTGTGTTCACTCAACGTGACAATCTTTTCACGCTTCCTAGGCGTAATATCCATGTTGGAATAAAACCAAAAACAACACAAAATAGTACAAAAACCCCCAAAACAACACAAGCTTGGTAAGAAATGACCTAAAACACACTCAAACACACCAACACACAGTAAGGTTATGTTTTCAATGCTTGGTCAGCTGTCAACTGTGTAGGTAGTGTTGCCAACTGTGAATATTGAAAAAATGAAAAAAAATTCACAGTGATTCCATTAATTCGCACAATACTGTAACTTTAGCAACATCCTGACATGTTAAAGTATTTGAAATTACTGCTCTGGTAGTTGGAGGTGGATCAAATTTCATTCGTGCTTTTCGGATATACATCAGTAATACCTGTTCTTTTCCTTTGGTCTTGGTTCCTTATTTTGTCTTTTTTTCTCACGCCAAAAATCGATCTTTTCATAGGAATAACGCATTGGTCAAATATCATTCGTTTCATAGCTATCGGGATGTTGCTCTTACAGATGCCTTTTGTTGAACCATACGCCTCCTATTTCACAGGTTTGATTATCCTTGCTTATTCTGATTTCATGACCGAGATATATGTACTTTTCTATCAATTCTACCACTTGATTTTCGATGGTTAGGTGTTAGCATTGCTCCAAAATAATGTAGTGCCAACGTTGGCTAACTTGTATCCAGTCAAAGATAGGTATAGGACATTGTATTTAAAAATGTCTAAAATGATCTGAGGAATCTAAAAATTAATTAATATACAGGGTGTTCCATTTAAAATAAGCAAGTTGGTATTGGTCACCGTTATCTAATACACCCCGTATAAAAAGTTTTTATGGAAAAAAATGGGCAACTATAAATACTAATCGACGTGTTAGACCGCTTTTTCGAATACTCCATCATTTATTTACTAGCTAATTTATTCCATTTAGCTGACACACAGTATATATGTATTCATTTTGTTGTATGATTTTATTAATATTGTCTTGGTATTTATTTAAATTCGTTGGGTCGTTTCATATCGGGTTGGCTTTCTTCCTAATCATTTTGGATCTTTCTTTTATTAAGGTTAATTTTACTTTGGCTTTTACCATTCTATTATCGCTGCGTGTGGTAACACTATTAAGGACTGTGACATCATTGAATATATGTTTTTTGTTACTGATTATGTAGTCTAGCTCGTTTCTGATCTTGCTATCTTGACTTCTCCCAGATATATAAATAAATATATATCTATAATTTCGATATCTAAAAATTTTTCTGCTGCCTTTGTGTGATTATGTTTCTATTTTAGGATGTTCTTTTATGGACACTTTTAGCGCTTAGTTTTGTATCCCATGTGGTGAAAGTTTTTCCCGCAACATTGTTAGTTCCTTCGTATTATCGTCTTATCGGATATCAGCTTTTTACTACAGATCCTACCCCTTATAGTATCTCTAACGCAACAATTACAAAAACGCTCGAATTCTATTCAAGGAAAGAGCACCCACTTTACGTTTCGAACCGGGAACCGATCAGATTTACATCAGTAATTGACAGTCGACATTCAACAAAACTCTCTCCCCCGTCGAAACGAAGACAATTAAAATGCAAAAACAGAACGAAAAAATCAACAACACGTGAAAGAGTAGAGTGCAGATATGAAAAAGAGAAACAATAATAGCGTCGCGAAAATGTGACATAACCGTCCGGTAGGATATTAAAGCAGATCCAGTAAATTCATAATATATATTAAAATATATTATGATAACGATATATTATCATACATAATTTTCTTTGCTTGGATTTATTCTATTTTAATATGCTTTCATTTTTCGTAAATAATCTGAGTAGATAGAAAGTCACTTTGGTCCACTTTGACCTTTGACATCTGACGTCACAAGACCTGATCAAGACCTGTTCCAGATTTACATAAAACCTTGCGGCATGACCTGCTCAATTCTGGATCTATTTTCACATCTATATCTATATCTATAAACAATTTGATCGACTTGGTCATGCTTTTTTTTGGTTGACACTTGTTATTTTGAGGTCTCATGTGCTCGTCTTGTTTGGAACGTTCCATGGAACATTAGTTATCAAAATATATATATATATATATATATATATATATATATATATAATACAGGATCCAATTTGTAAATAGAATACATCTTGGAGACGGCTATCGCCCCGTCCTCCTCCGCCAATCCTCTCGGTCCAAGGCATGCTCCTCCTCCAAACCTCTCGATTCCATTGCTCTTCTAATACCTTCATTCCATGAGCGTCGAGGTCTACCTCTTTTTCTTCTACCAGGGGGCTTCCATCTGTGAAGTTTTTGGGGCCAACGTTCGTTAGGCATTCTTAACAGGTGTCCAAACCATTTTAAACCTCTTCTTTCTATTCTGTCTATGACCGTATCTGTAGCATTCATCTGATTTCTTATAGATTCGTTGGTTTTCCTTTCCAGCCTTGATGTTCTAGCACTTCTTCTCAAATAATCCATTTCAACTGCCAACAATCTTCTTTTCATCCATCCATCCATCCAATGGCACTACAGCCCAAGCCAGGCCTTGGCCTCCTTCATTAAACCTTTCCAAACATCTCTATTTACTGCTGTTCTTTTCCATGAACGCGTTTTTAGGAGATTTTTGGCATCCTCATCTACCTCGTCTTCCCATCTCTTTTTTGGTCTTCCAACAGGTCTTTTTCCTTGCATTCTTGCGTTTAGTAATTTTCTGAGGATTCTGTTCTCATGCATGCGGGCCACATGTCCTGCCCATCGTAATCTCTGCAGTCTAGTGTATTGTGCTAGTGTTGGTTCAGTGTATTGTTCGTATATTTCGTTATTATAATCTTCTTTTCAGGTGTGCATTAATTGTCCATACTTCAGAGCCATAACAAAGAACTGATTCAACCATCGTTTGCCCTATTCTTTTTTTGTTCCTTTTGGAAATGTTGCGATCCCACCATAAGGAGTTCAAACATCCTACAATTTTACGTCCCTGATTAATTCGTTGTTTAATTTCGGTTTCACCCAAGCCGTTCTTATCAATGAATGTACCTAAATATTTAAATTTTTCCACTTGTGTGATTTCCACGTCCTCGTCTATCAACACTTAAAACCTGGCATCTGAATTGATAACTAGATATTCCGTTTTCTTCATGCTGACTTTTAACCCCCATTTTACATATTCTCTGTATAGACGCTTTATCATAAATTCTAGATCATAAGAATCTTGAGCTAGAACGACTTGGTCATCCGCAAAGTTCAGGGAGAACAGTACGTCATTTCCTATTGGGATTCCCATTCCCTGGCAGTGGTTTTTCCAATTTTGAAGGGCTGCCTCAATATATAAATTAAACAGTAAAGGTGACATACTGCATCCTTGTCTCAGTTCTTTAGTTACTTTTATCGGCTCTG